GAAAGAGTGCAAGCCAAGTCTGGAATGCTTCATGGGTGTTCTTATTAAGGTCATCATCATCAGCTGGGAACCTGTATCTGGGGAGTACCAGGTGGGGACCCACACTGGGATCTGTGAGTGTTAATATATGTGTGTGCTTTCTTATGAAAATAGCTAAACCACCAACATAAAAAGTTATTTTTAAAAATGGTGTTAAATGTCTAAGAATTAATTAATTTAATCTGTAAGGTGTTTATGGGTCAGTGTCATATTGTGCTGAGTTCACTTGGATTCTTACAACCTTGCTTCAGCTTTTCATTTCCTCAGAATGCTGGATAAAGACAACTGTTATTATCACACTGGTAAAGCATGTGCTTGACACATGCAATGCTAAACTGACATCCACAACTCATTAGCAGTGTTACTTCGTTTTCACTGTGACGTTGGTTTCCCCAAGTCAGAAGCCTAAATAAACTGCATACAGCCTGGGAGCAGTCGGCACCAGTTCTTCCCTGCAGAGTGGTCTTTGTAGAATGGCAGCTCCTTGCCTCTTTTTGGTGTGATTAGTGAGACATGAGGTATGAGGACCAAAGCAAAAGCACCAGTGCTAGTGGAGATGAGAAATCTGCCATGCTCCAGACGGGAGTGTGGTATGTGAGCTTTTAAGTCAAAATTTGGGTCTCTGCTGGGGCAGTGTCCATAGCTGGTATGTATTCCCAATTCCTGTGTTACTGGTTTAAATTAAGAGTGACGCTTATTCTTCTTTACATATCTTGTTTAAACTTTTATTAGAGACTAGCACAAGGACAGCTGCAGGGATGTGCTAAACTTCTATTTCTCATCTGTTCTCTTTTCTCAGTTCTTTACTCCTATATTGCTGTTCTGAGAGTCCAATTTTTGTGATGGTTGTGAGGAACAGACTTACCTTTGCTCAAAGCTCATCTTTCCATCACTTTCACAGTGGGATAATAAGGTTCCCAGATAACATGCTAACTTGGTGTCTGAATGGAGAAGACAAACTTCTGAATGTTCTCTTTTTGCTTCAGAGCTCTACAGTGGGCAAATGGGGTAAAGAAGAGTTCCATTTCTGGTGAGCGGGCTCAGCAGGACATGCATTTCTGGAGCAGAGATACTCAGTTTTCCATTTGCAGTGGTCTCTTGCATGGTTTGTGCCTCTCTAGTCAACTGGAAAAGACAACTTCATTCCTGGCCACAGGGTTGCAGCAAGTGGTTCATTTTTTCCCTCTTTGTTTTAAATTTTGTTATTTTTAAACCATTAACTTCAGAATTCAATCCCAAAGCATCTCCAGGGCAAAGCAGAAAATACGTTTTGTGTTTCCAACCACATGGATGGTGGGAGTCTGGCTGCAGCTGCTCAGTGAGTAGCACATCAAACTGCTCGGTCGCCGATTGGGTGGTGCAGCGTGTAACGTCACATCTGATTAGTGTGGTGCCAGTGAATGAGGCTTGAGTGAGGACTCCCTGCCAGCTCTGACTTGTCTCATTTCCCACTGCTTTTATCCATCACCACAAATGCTGAGTCTCCCTCCTGAACTAATTAAGTTTGCGTGTGTTTAGACACATTGCCAAATAGGGTTTAGCAAAGCAGAACTGAGCATCTCTTTTTAAAGAGGGAAGGGAGAGAGCTGAAACAAGGCCACTCAGATAGGCAGGTAGAGCCTGAGAGATGTGGAACATCTAGGAAGTATTCCAGGGGTTCACCCTGTGCAAGACCTCTACAAGACTTGTGCACCTCTACAAGACTTGTGGTGTAGCTGGTGCCCTTCTGCTACCATGTTGAGACCACATGCTGGGCACAGGAGGCACTAGGGCAGAAGTCCACATTTGGAGGAGTGTGTTGGTAGAAGTGCTGCATGGTAGAAGCCCCACTGGGTTCCAGAGGAATTTGGGACAATGAGGTGAGTGCAGTGCAGGGCTTCCTGGCTTAGTGGCAACTTGGGGCAGGTTCATTCCTAACCCTTTTTCTCATCTTCCTTAGTAATGATAACTGCTTGCACAGTGTGTGATTTCCTATCCTCCATTGTCCTTAGCTTGGCTCTTGGTGGGAAACCATGCAGCCTTGTTTATGGCTTCTCCAGTAGTGACCTAGGCATTTAGTTTGGCTTCTATCTGCATGTGCTATTGAAGAACTGAGGCATGGTATCTTCTGGACAGGCCTGCCTACGGTGAGCGCTCCCAGTAGATGCCACTGGTAGGTGCCAAGGCACTGGGAGGTGCAGTGGGGTGAGCAAGCTGGATGGAGGCTGAGGGAGTGGCTAGAACAAAGAGGAAAAATCTACAAGCCTGTAAGTTGTGGATGTGGGGACAAGGTGGTGAAATAGCCCTATCAAAGCCAGAAGATGCAATATGTGTAGCACTCTTAGCTCTGCTGATGGTGTCTAGTGGTATCTGAGTCTGCAGGATTCAGGATGGAAGCTCAGCTGCTGCAGGATCTGTGAAGCCTCAACTTGACTCAGGAATCTTCAAGGAATGAGGCCCTATGTGTCTACAGACTTAATTTCTCTTGAACATGGAGCTTTCTTGGGAGATGACAAAGCTGTTTGTTTGGCTTCCCTCTGACAACAGGGAGCATTAGTCACAAGGTCCTGAGTGCCCAGAAGAGGACACCAAGCATCTGGGGAGGGCTCATGGAGGTTCAGCATGAGTCAAGGTCCTCAGCCATGCCACTGAAGACCTTGTCATGGATGTGGTGCACCTTCAGAAAGAGAGTCCTCTGTTGGAGGGATTTGGTCACTGCTGGAGAGAGCCCATTGTACCAGAGGGCTCAGAAATAGAGCACTGATCCTCTCTCTGCTGCTGCACTTGGATCAACTGGCTTTCAGTGCTCAGTGTGTGTGAACCAAGCTGGAGGCAGGGAGACAGCAGCTCTCCTGCCACCCCTCCCCTTCCTTCTTGTTAAGATGCAATTTCTTTAATGAGGAAAACCTCTTGAGTAGGAACATCACCTTTCTGAAGGCTTGTCCTGACAAGGCAGTTCAAGCCGACAGAGTCGCATATCAACTTCAGCAAATATCAGTCACTCATTACAGAGACTCTTCTCCCCCCACTCTCCAGCAACACCCCTCGTTCCCAGACAAGGGAATGAATCACATTCCTGC